TGCTAACATAGTGCGAGTGGACTCAAAACCATGAAGCCATTCGTATTCCAACCATATTATTTCTAAGTATTTCTCCGGAATGATAAGAGCTGGGAGGGACAAACCATTGGTCTAACGGTCTCAGCCAGGAGAGAGAACATCAATCAGAATTCCTATTCCAAATCACCAGCCAGCAATCGAGATCAGGCTCCGAGTTGGTGCTCATGTTGGTTGAACTAATGAATCTTTTGTACTGTCGCTTCTTAAACGGACAAACCGCACTTCTGTGAAATCATTCTACCCGGCCTTATGATTTTCCCTTAAGATTCATTTGCGGATCAGGATCATTGTTGCCAATGAGAGACTGGCAAAAGTACTAAAGTTAAAACGTTTTGTTCTACTCGCAAGTTCGCAATCTTCAGGATTGGTTTTGGCTTTTCTTTAAAAAAAGCCGAATGTAACGGTCTCTGTAAACTACAGGTAGATTGAGGCGTCAAAATCAACATAAAAAGCATTGTCACAATCTCCAAACATTTGCCAAAACACAGCATATCGAAATTGCTCCTTATCATCTTCCTCTCGTTACAGACAGAAAGTCTGGGACAATTATTCTGCCTTTGTAACTAAAGTTAATCAAGGTCATTACTTGTGAATTTTGAAATACCCCTGCGCCCTAAAACGGAGTATTAAAGTGCACAGCATTTAAAGTCGATGTTTTAACCTTTACCATTGTTATCACCATCGTTATGAATGATATGAGCATCTATCGCTGTTGGGTTTTGTTACCAGCGGATCTGGTTAGCGTTAAATTGCGGTCAAAATGTCCAGTTACAGTGGTTGGCAAAACAGGAGGATCTTCAATAAATGGTGAGGTTCGAACGCCAAATTTGTACATGGCTCTAAGCAACATTAACACCAGTCAAAACTTAGCTGGCGTTAAAAACAACCGCCTCTATGTAAAACACGCGCTGTCTCAAATGACACAAAGTAAGGCGCTTTCAATGAAATAACAACATAACGGACGAGTGTCCCTGATTCCAAGTTTACACCATGTCAGCCTTGGGTATTGATGTGGTTTTCTGTTCAGTCAGTTTGCACGTTTGCGGCGGTTTCTTTTCGCCTGAAGTCAAAGAGAGCTGCTTAAATATTGGTCAACGCTTGGCATTTCTTTTTATAGTTCACTTATCTTGCATGGAAGCATATCTAAAATGAATCCAGTGCAGAGAAATTATGTAAAAGATATTATCACAGCCTTATACCGTGTCACTATAAGAGAGATCTTATGACTGGACCGGTCAGGCAATTTACACACACTGACCGAAGTTCCTTCTTGTTCGTTCAATGTAGCAGAATACTTTGTAGTAGCTTAACGCTCCGATTGAATGTACTTGCCTAGTTTTGCACGAATCACCATTTTCTCACAGTGACAAACCAGCTCAGTCAGGTTCAGTACAAGCAGGTTTAAAAATATATCAACCACAACATTCCAATTCATGGAGGGCAGGTCTGTGCCAAAATTTTAAACCAGTTACTTGGGTCTCTTTATTTTGTAGAACATGAATTAGGTGCTACAAAAGCAAACTGTTTTTAAAAAATAAATTTTCTTGGCGATATTTAAAAACAGGTATTTGTACGGTCAAAGCCGGACTGTATTTGCCATGTTGTTTTTGTTCCGATATGTCTGAGGGATTCATCTACGCTATTTGGTCACTTCAATAGGAAAGTTAATTGCTGCTTTTGAGAGAGGAAATAGGAGCAGGAGTAGGCATTCAGCCCCTTCAGCTTGTTCTGTCATTCTAGATCATGGCTCTTCTACCTCAATGCCATTTTCCCCCGCTATCTCCATATTCCCTTGATATGTTTGTTTAATATCCAGAAATGTGGGCCCCAATTCATAACTTTAACCCTGATGGCCTTTCCAAAATACAGGCGCTAAATTGCAGGTAATTTTAACCTGATTTTCTCATCTTAGAAACACTCCTCTGGAGTAAGGGGAAACTTGAACCCGCGTCTTCTGACCCAGAAGCAGAAGATACTATCACCGCGCTACAAGAGTCCGTCACTGAAGTTATGTTCACGAAATGCGAAACCTCTGCACGTCCATAGCTAGGAGTCATACCAAAGCAGTAGGTACCGTTGCATCGGCTTGCTTAAATCTGTCACTTTAAACTATGCAATCCTAAATTAAAATATAAAAGAAAGTCCAAATTCTTTTCTGAAAGTTCATGCTGTTTGTTATCCGGGTATAATCTCAACTCAATTCTCACACTTCCTTTTTTTCTTCTACAAATTTCAACTTTCTAAAGAGACTGATGGTCAAGAATGCTTTCCTGTTCGGACCGTTTGTGTTTCTACTCCCAACGATTAACATTCAGCTCCCTGTACAGCATATGGCTTCGGTAGGAACGCCATTAAGATGGATTCATGCGCGGCCTTTGCATGTACAAAACCAAACATGCTCTATTGTCAGAACACACACCTGTCAGAAGCAAACCAGAGGATCCGGCAGCAACAGGCTTTCTCTTATCGCCACCTGAACTTATCCTCGGGTACTAATCCTGACAACACATCGTCTGGGCCGGCCAAGTCCTCTTTGCAAACTCCATTTGAAAGCAGCCGGTTGGGATTTTCATTCAGATGTCTGGTTCTTCCACCTCCACCTCCTCCACTCCCCCCACCCCCCACCCCCCCGACCACTCCGACCCCACCCCCACCACCCCCTCTCATAGAAATATGAGATGGTGCCCATTCTACAAGGTCCACTTACTAATTGCGAGGCCTGTTTCAGTGAGTGGCTCAGAGCTTCTGTCTCAGGCCGGAATAGCTGGCGCTGCTTTGAGCACAGCCCCGTGTGCTCTCGTCTGGCCGGCACCGCTTGCATTAAACTCGAGGTGCACAGTTCCAGGATTAGTGGCAACATTTATTGACAAAGCCTGCCTCTTCCTAACCTCTCGAGTGGCGGCAAAGTCATTGAGTCTGACTGGCCTCCTCATCTCCAGCCACAGTCTACGGGAATCCGGCATCAAACAAGTACCTAGGCAAACAGAAGCACTTCACCGTCCAACTGCACTAATAAGGCGACCGTGTCCCTTCACAGGGGACGTGTGGGATTTTTAAACACGTATTCAGGGACGGATGGTAACATTCGGGTTTAGCCGCGGCGATTTTAACATACTTCGCTGGTAATTTTCACAATCACCGGTTCTACACTGCAGGATATATAAGTAGGAAAACACCCAGAGACTGCTGAACTTCTAAAACATCTCTCAAAATAAAGGAAATGCTGCACCAGGCATAACATCTCCGCCCAGTTACCCTTTCTAAAGAAACTGGCGAATGCTGAACAATTTCTTCAGCATTTTTCGAATGCAGAACTGGCCCAGCAAATGTTGTATGGCTGAGTTCATCTCCAATTAACTAATACAGCTAACTCGGTTGGAATTGGTCAGAATAATGACTCAAACTTAGAAACATTTCTCACAACCGCCCACTTTTATTCCACTCCAATACCTTAAACAAATCAAAAACCTATTGTTGGGAAACGCGCCTTGATAAATCGTTTCTGCTGCTGAACGTTCTGATTTTAATTATAAGGATGGTGCGTTTCAACTAAAATGTTTTGCTTTATGTAATCGGTTCCTTAAATGAAGTGCGGCTTTGTTGATGAAGGCTTCGGGGCAGGTAGCAGTGCGGTCGGTACTCGGCCTAATGGTTGTGTCATTTTGTTCTTGAATTGCCAACGCTCCCTAGCCCTCTTAAGATGTACTTCAAACATTCCTAAGTGATATTCCTATGACCGAAACCTTCCTACAGATTTGCTGGGAGTAGCTTTAAATGTATAGAGAGAGAATAAAGTACATGCATAACATCTTAGGGAATTTCTGCCTTAGAAAGTTGCATCATTTAGAATAAATGGAGGACATTTTGTGTAGCATTTGCTGTGCTAATGATCTAATAACAACTGACTGTTTAACAGTAGTCTTCAATTTTGTTGTATCACTTCCCTATTTCAGTCAAACTAAGAGCAGGGAGCATCTTCGTACGATTTGATTTTTCCATGTAGTCAGCTCGTGACTCGGGGAATTTTTTATTTAAAAGTGTTCCCTCTTTTCTGTTCGGCTTCTTTCCCCCCCCACAAGCAGTTGGCAAACGCGCAGTTACATACTGAGAGTGATGCTGTTATGTGCTCACGCGCATAAAATGAGCCAAAGATTAAATCAAAGGTGCCACTCGTAATTATACTGTAGGAAGGAAACACAACTAAGATGAGACAGAGTGTACAACAAAGTCTAAATATCCACCCCTTACTTTCGATGCATGGGATTACTTATTTGCAAGAACGCCTCAGCAGCAGCAACCTGATGCTTTTAAGATGCATGTATTAGGTACTTCTACAAAAGGGAAGACCGCACATTCCATCTATTTGACTAAGCGTCCTGGTGCTGTTCCTTGCAGTGAATAGCTCTTTTAGCTAATAGATATTTCGAGTCCCAGGGCAGGGCAAAAGACCAACTAATAGCAGCCAACAAACTCTCAGTTTTCAAGAAAATTGGATACACATTAATGAGTAAACCTCAATTACAGTATGTGAAAGTTCGCCATTTCCTGTTACTCTGTGGAACATCACGATGCGCGTTAGTCTGATATATATCAAAGGTGTTACATTAGAGTCCAGAAGCGCTCAAAAAGTATTTAATCAAGTTTTATCCTGGCATCACGTTTATCTGAATATGGACCTACCTACATTTACCTCAATTATCCTGGTAAAGATGTCAAGCACTATTGTTTGCTCATTTCGACCGATGCTCCTCCCCCAGGGCTCTGTCGTAAACCTGGCGCCTGGCTAAAATAAATCAAAGACAAGAGGATTCGGGGCTCGCCTCCTCCAAAGCCGATCAATCGGATCTCAGGCGGACTCCAAAACATCCTCTTACGTCGACATCCACAAGAGGAGCGAGAGAGGGAGAGCTGAGCGCGGCACACGGGTAGATCCTCTCAAACCATTTTACCTGCTCTAAATCATGTCGTTGAGCCCAAAGCACACAACGCCTTTTTCAGTGACAGACATCCTGAGCCCGATTGAGGAGACCTACAAGAAGTTTGGTGGCATGGACGGCGCTGGCAACCTCGGTTCTCCTCTGGGGGGCTACCGTCAAGCCCAGGTCTCCCAGTCCAGCATGCAGCAACACACCATGGGACATAACGCAACGGTGGCGACCACTTACCATATGCCGCACGGCGTCTCTCAGTTTTCACACGGGGCCATGGGAGGCTACTGCAACGGGAGTATTGGCAACATGGGGGAACTGCCCTCATACCAGGACACCATGAGGAACAGCGCTACAGGGAGTGGCTGGTACGGCGGTACGAACCCGGATCCCAGATATTCAACAAGTAAGATTCCCTCAAATAGAAGTTTTCTCTCAATTTCACTATGATTTCGACTTGGCTTAGTGGCGGAGTTTGTTTGAAATAGATTCTTTTCGGGGAGAGAAGGAGCTGTGTGATAAACTTAATGTAGATGTTCATTGGGGGTAATATTTCACTCCCTAACTCTGACTAATAAGCTATCCATCGTTTTAATGCCAAGTCGAAGAAATTTTAGCAGATAGCTGAGCATGTTTGCAAGACAACTCGACTATGCTTAACTTCAGAAACAACCCGAGCAGGTCAGGCCCTATGAAATTATTCTACATGTCAACATAATTTTTTTTTGATGTGGCATATTTGTGCAGATGGTATTTAGGACTGGAATAATCAAGTCAATTAATGTTTATTTAACATTATTAATGTATAATTTTGTTCAGGAAATAAATAAAGTATAGGGTATGGACGATTAAGTATTGTGTAAATGACAGAACTGCTTTGTAAGAATGTAGATGATTAGTCTGAGTAAAATTTCTACCTCCCGGTATTTTTTTTTAATCAGAACCATTTCTTTCATTGAAATGTTTCTTTAGTCTCCCGCTTCATGGGGACATCTTCAGGGATGAACATGTCTGGAATGGGGACTTTAGCGGGAATGACAGATTCCGCCAAACCTATGGCACCTTTACACGCAGCGCCAAGGAGAAAGAGAAGAGTATTGTTCTCTCAGGCCCAAGTCTACGAGCTGGAGCGACGCTTCAAACAGCAAAAGTACCTCTCCGCTCCCGAGAGAGAACACCTGGCGAGCATGATTCACCTCACCCCGACCCAGGTCAAGATCTGGTTCCAAAACCATCGCTACAAGATGAAACGCCAGGCCAAAGACAAGGCTACTCAACAAATGCAGCAGGAGAATAACCTGTGTCAACAGCAACAGTCTCCCAGGAGGGTAGCCGTGCCAGTGCTTGTGAAAGACGGTAAGCCCTGTCAAAACGGCTCCAGCACCCCTACCCCCAGCCAACAAGCACAGCAGCAACAGGGCGCCAATGGGATCCTCCCAGTCGCCAGCACCACTATCTCTCAGCAACAGAATCAACAAGTGAATTCACTCGCTCAAACCCAAGATCTCGCCCAAGTGTCGCCAAACTCATCGTCTATTCACAATTCGGTCACTAACATGTCTCAAATGGACACGGCTACTGCAGACTACACGGGTAACATGGTGAATCCTGGCCTGCTGTACGGTCGGACCTGGTAGAATTTCCTTACCAAGGCACGAGTGGAGATGGGTGAGACATTTGTAAAAGGTTTGGACTGGCAAACTTTGCAACACATACCCAGAACTGCAGCTCTCGGGTTCTTTTGGACGTGTTCTTTTCTGAAATCTGAGGAACAATTGACATGCAACATAATGTTAACTTGGAGCCCTCTCAGACTTTGGGAAAAGACGCCGCAACATATAAATTTAAAAGAAAAACTGTGACCATTTGGATTTGCTTAGACTGTTGTGTAATTGTAGTTAACAAGTTGTTGAATTGGATCGGGAATGCTGTTCCAAATTCCGGGGAGTCAACACGACTATATACCAGGTAGAACAATGAAGTGCGAAATACTAATTCATCCATGGCCCAGCAGTGTTCTACTGGAAACACTAATACCTTTCAGATCTTGTTGCGAATTAGCTGTACATTCTTGTAAATTAATCTCTGGATTGTGCAGTCAGTTCGATGTGGTAGTTTAATGATTCAAGCCTGAATTATATACCCTTCAGAGTTTGGTTAATTTAAAACAAGGAGCAGATTGCTGATGTAAAACTGTTTTTTATATATAAAATGAAAAAAAAATCAGCATTAATGCTTCAAGCATAAATAAAGTCCTAGGTTTAAGGGAATGTGCTTGAGACCGACAAATTGAACTGTGGTTTAAAACTGGTGTGATATAGAAAGCGGCATAATGGCCACAATATTAGAGTGTAATCTGGCGGGGGGGATTTAAGGAATAAATAGCATGAAAGGAAAACTGTTTCACAATAATTTGCCTCGATTGTTACTATTAGAACCAGCTAAAAAGCAATGCGGTTAGCAATTTGGAATTGCCGTGTTATCTATGAGCTCCATCGCTGCATCCAGACGGTCTATAATCCGTTTCGAACGACCATCGCCTTTAACTAGGCACCCTGGACATGCCGTACCAAAGCGGCTTTTACTGTCAATGGGATCTAACGCGATTTTGAAGAGTTTTTTTAGTGGGATTCCGAAACATGCTCAGGATATCACGGGTCTCTCGTGACATTGTTTCCAACTCAGCATATTTTTCGGGGGATGGTATTGTTTATTTAAGTTAAACACAGGAAATGGACAGCCAGAAAAGAAACGTGGCTTCGTTTAAATATTTCCATATTTATAATTGAACAAGCTTTACAAAGAGACTGATGCAAAATCTACACATTATTGACATTGTTCTCACCTCGATGTCGGTTCGTCTATGGTTGACATTTATGTCAATGGGGAATTTTAGGTCTTGTTATTTATTATAACGTTTTTAAAATTCATTGAAAATGTCAAACGTATTTTTCATCAAATGCATACTCTCGCACAGTTAGAATAGAAAAAAAAGCGGGTCATTTTTATTAAGAATGACGGTCGACCGGTTGTAAAATAAACTGTCATGAAATCGCTAAATGCACACACGGGATGATCTCACGGCCGAATTATGTTGCCGCATTTGGCTGATTGCAAAATTGTTGAAATGTTGCTTCTGTTTCAACCCGTTAATAAATTTCTCTCTCTCTGTTTGTAAATTCCATCGCGAAAACTGCATGGATTCCGATAAGCCGGAATCATCCAAATTCCTGGGAATTGAAATTTGATTAAAACACCAACAGGGAAGAGAAGCGCCGTTGTCATCGCGCTGTTGAAGCGGGCAAGATCGGCGCTGACCATTACGGCCCATCGCGCGTTTCTCGGTCTCAGCGTCGGCGACTGTACCTTACAGTTTCCACAAGGGACCCGCTATGACTACAACAGTGAGTGCTGTCTCTTTAGGCTTAACAAGGGAGGGCTCAATAAATAACATACCTGGCTGTTGACCTGCAAACGTTCTGACTGCTTTTATTTAGATGGGTCTATAGCAGAGCTGCTCGGGCTGGTTCACAAATTTTTTTTAAAGCCGAAAAATGGGGGAAACACGTGAACGCGTTTCGAACAGAAATTCGTTCGAATTATTTATCTTGTTTCCAAATAACCGCGCGATATATTTTTTTTGTTCACCCTAAGCACGCTCTTTTTGTCAGGTAAAAGAAAACGATCAAACAGTACATTGATTCCAGATCCTGTGTGGCAGTGTTAAGACTCAATTTTAATTGTTCACTTAAATGATTAATAAACGAATTCCAGGCAAAAAAAAAGTACTTGTGACATTGGTTGGGAGGCCCCACTGGTGAACAGCTCAATCCGTTTGTTCTCTCAATAGTGTTGAACTCTAACCAGCTTCACAATGGGGAAAAACTTGTTAAAACCCAGGTCACTCTACATCGGTCAAACTTTCAACCGGAGTAGGTATCTCATAGAGTCACTTCGATGTTCTGGGAATAGCCTCTGTGAGGTACATAAAATTTTGGTTTCCCGTCACATTTAACAGCAGTAATTTCCTGAAGGCACAGCCCTACCGAAGGTTAATTTTTTCCTCTCTCTCAATTAATTGTCTTATCCTCAGAAGACGAACGTTCTCGACAAATCTCGAATGCATTTACTTATTATAATTTGATGGGTTTTTTTTCTATATAATAAAGTCCCGCTATAAACATACCTCTTCGATTTGGAAGAGCAATACTCCTCCTTTGTAAAGCAAACGCGTGGTTCGCGTTCTCAAATCGACCTAATATACATTCAAATTAGACTTCCAAATGCTTTTGTGTCTGAAGACAAAATGGAAAGCACCACTCCTTAACCTTTACATCGGCGCGGAGGTGTCAAGGGAGCAGTACTCCAACCACGTTCAGCTTCCGATGTAGCATTATTCGGTGTTCGGGCTGTATTATTTGCTTTGGCGTGTTACTGCACAGTTACTTTGGACCTGCTGGTATTTCTGGTTCTGCTCAGGCTGCGTGCGCCTTTCTCCGGTAACCAAAGGCGATGGCGTGAGATGCCTCTGATCTGTATTCGCGTTGCAGAATCAACATAAACAGACCCTACAATA